ACATGCTATACGTCTTGTAAGATATATAACATCATCCTTATTGACCTAACCACTTCGGGGTTTCATCGCAGCTGTAAAAATTGTTCTCTCTCTCTCTTTCTTTCTCTCTCTACTCTCTCTCTCTCTCTCTCTCTCTCTCTCTCTCTCTCTCTCTCTCTCTCTCTCTCTCTCTCTCTCTCTCTCTCTCTCTCCCTCTCTCTCCTCGCTTCCTCTCCTCTTCCTGCTTTCTTTCCCTCTCCTCGCTTCCTCTCCCTCTCCCTCCCCTCTCCCTCTCCCTCCCTCTTCCACTCAAGCACTCACTCCTCCCATCCTCTCCCTCTTCCTCCCTCCCTCCTCCCCCTTTCCTCCCTTCCTCTTCCCTCTTCCTCCCTTCCTCACCCTCTCCCTCTCCCTCCCTCCCATCCTCCCTCCTTCCACTCAAGCACTCACTCTTTCTTTCTTTCTCTCTTTCTTTTAGTTAATTAAGAACCTTCCGGGTTGCCTGTTAATTGCAATTGCCAGGTGAGAGGTGAAACTTTGACCTGGGAATTGGAGAATGTTTTTTCTTGAAATTCCTTTTTAGATACATGCAGAGGAAGACCTATTAGAAAAAATACGTTATGTTCTTTACAAAAACAAAATGCACATTCTACACTCATTTTTTATTGATGTCCTGCAGAAAAAAAACATTACACAACACTGAAAATAAATATATGTTTTGTTATTTTTTTATTTTCGGGAAATTGGTCAGACAAACTCGAGAAAAAGTCAAGAAAACGACATGGAAACCAAAGAAAGGCAAAGAAATATAACGAAAACCAAGGAAATGCTTTATAAACCTAGGGAAACAAGGAAATGCAACGAAAACCAGAGAAAAATTTTGAAAATCCAAGAAAATGCAATTTTAAACCAAGGAAATTCAAAAGAAAACCAGGGAAATCAAGAAGAAAATCCAAGGAAATGCAATATAAACCAAGGAAATTCAAAGAAAATCAATAAAATCAAGAAAACCGAAGAAAATGCAATATAAACCAAGGGAAATTCAAAGAAAACCAGAGAAAAACCAAGAAAATCCACGAATATCTACGGGAAAATCGAAGGAAACCCCAATATAAACCGAGGAAATCTAAGTAAAGACCAATCCAATCCAATCACAGCTGACTAAACAGGCGGGGGTCGTCCATTAAACGCGAGGAGACACTGAAGCGCTTAATGTACATGGAAAAGTCTGCACAAACTTTGGCATTCGCGGAGGTTGCCAACTCTGACATTTCCGGTTCCAACTTTTCGGGTTTGGCGTCGTTATAATGGATTTTTTTTTTTTGTGCGTTTGTGTAGAAGGAAGGTGGAGAGACAGAGATAGACACAGAGAGACAGACACAAAGAGACAAGGACAGAGAGACAAGGGACAAGGACAAGGACAGAGGACCAGACAGAGGACAAGGACAGAGAGACCAAGGGGCAGAGACAGACATAGAGAGAGAGAGAGAGAGAGAGAGAGAGAGAGAAGAGAGAGAGAGAGAGAGAGAGAGAGAGAGAGAGAGAGAGAGAGAGAGAGAGAGAGAGAGAGACAGTGGTAGTGTAAGTGCGTGAGTGTGAGTGTGTGTATGTGTGTATGTGTATGATTATGTATATGTGAGCGTGTGCCAGTGAGCGAGGGAGTGCGTGTGTGCGTGCATGCGTGTGTGTGTGTAATTAAGGAGCCAATAGAAAGTGTCTTCTCCAAAGAGGAAGTTCGAGATGGATTTCCATTTACTCGAAAAGCCTTTTAAGAATCTTTTCTTAATTAAAATGTTTCGTGACAAGTGCCGAGCTAACATTTTGCTGCCTGACGCCCAGAGATGTCGCTCCCCCCTCCCCCTCTCCCCTCCCTCTCCCTCCTCCATCTTTCCCCTCTTCGCTCCCTCTTCCTCTCTCCTTTTCTTCAACTCAAATTCGCATTAATTAAGGTTTGTTATTATTCTTTCTGTCGAGTTTTTCTTTTTTCTTTTTTTTGCTTTAACTTTTTCTTTTTTTAATCTCACATTTTCTTTGTTCTGTCTTTCTGTTTTTTCTCTTTCTCATCTTCCTTTCTCTCTCTATCTTCCTATCTCTTTCCCTTATCTCTCTCTTTCTCTTATTCTCTTTCTTTTTCTCTCCTTCTATTTCCCTTTCTCTTTCTCTTTCTCTCTCTTCTCTCTCTCTCTCTCTCTCTTTCTCTTTCTCTTTCTCTTTCTTTCTTCTTTCTTCTTCTTTCTTTTTCTTTCTTCTTTCTTCTCTCTCTCTCTCCTCTCTCTCTCTCTCTCTCTCTCTCTCTCTCCCCCCTTCTTCCATCTGTCCCCTCTACCTCTTCTTCGTTCTTATCTTTCCCTTTTTCTTTATTTTTTGTCTTTCAACCTACGTCCTCCTCCCTCTCTATCTCTTTCTTTACTTCTTTCTCTTATTTTCTTGTTCTTCTAATCAACGTCACATCCCCTCCCCCTCCCCTCCCTTAAACCAACCATCCCCCTCCCTCAGTCTCACCCACCCCCGTCTCTCCTCCCCCCCGTCTCTCCTCCTCCTCCCCCCCGTCTCTCCTTCTCCTCCTCCCCCCCGTCTCTCCTTCTCCTCCTCCCCCCGCCCCCCGTCTCTCCCTCCCCCGTCCCTCCTTCTCTCCCTCTCCATCCAGCAATGGAACATAAAAGCTCATATTTTTAAAGCGAATCCCAGAGTCCGGATGCCCAGGTAGTAAACCCAGCTTGACACAAAATTCATCCGGTGAGAAAAAAAAGAAAAAAAACCCCTTTTGTTTGACAGTATTCATTCCCTCCTACCCCCTCCCTCCTCGCCCCCTCCCTCACCCCTCCCTCCCTTTTGTCCTGCCCTTGTCCCTCCTTCACCCCTCCTTCGCCCCTCCCTCTTTCTTACTCCACCCCTTACCTCCGTCCTCTGACGTCATTGCGCCGTTGAGGCGTTGAGAGAGAGGAGGAGAGAGAGAGAAGAGAGAGAGGAGAGAGAGAGAGAGGAGAGAGAGAGAGAGAGAGAGAGGAGAGAAGAGAAAAAAAAGGAAGAGAGAGAGAGGAGAGAGATTGAGAGAGAGAGAGAAAAAAGAAAGGAGAGAGAGAAGAGAGAGAGAGAGAGAGAGAGAGAGAGAGAGAGAGAAAAAAGAAAGGAGAGAGAGAGAGAGAGAGAGAGAGAAGAGAGAGAGAGAGAGAGAGAGAGAGAGAGAGAGAGAGAGAGAGAGAGAGAGAGAGAGACTGAATGAGTGTGTGAGTGAGATTCAATGAAAGGTGGGGAGGAGAGAGGAGGGGAGGAGGAGATCGTGAGGGTAGGGGAGGCAATGGGGAGGGTATAGATGAGATGAGATTGAATGGATCGGGGAGGAGAGGGAAGGAGGGGAAGAAGGAGAGGGATGGGAAAGGAGAAGGTGGAGAGGAAGGGAAGAACAAGCCGAAAGAGGAGTGGAGAGGAAAGGGAAACAAGCCGAAGGAGAGGTGGAGAGGTAGGGAAAGAACAAGCCGAAAGGAGGAGGTGGAGAGGAAGGGGAAGAACAAGCCGAAAGGAGGAGGTGGAGAGGAAGGGAAGAACAAGCCGAAAGGAGGAGGTGGAGAGGAGGGAGAACAAGCCGAAAGGAGGAGGTGGGAGGAAGGGAAAAACAAGCCGAAAGGAGGAGGTGGAGAGGAAGGGGAAGAAGAACAAGCCCGAATCATGTTTTGCTTTAAGGAAATTTCCATCGTCTGAGGTGAATTCTCAGAAGGAATCTCGAGTGTCTTTTCAGCCGAGTTCGAACGCCCTTTGATGGCAGTGGGTGTGAAAACAGGTCGATGGATATGCAGAGAGCACAACACACACACCACACACACACACACACACACACACACACACACACACACACACACACCACACACCACACACACACACACACACACACACACAAATTAATTTCTTCTTTTCAGGTATATCTTATGCCTCTAATTACCATATCCTCAGTTGATTCATTCATTTAAACCGTATTTTTATTTCAGGAGAGTGAGTGAGTGAGTGAGTGTGGAGAAAATGTTTATCTTTCCCCATCTTAAAAAGAACATTCCCAAAAATCTGAGAGAGAGAGAGAGCAGAGAGAGAAAGAAAGAAAAAAAAGAGAAAAAGAAAGATAGAAAGCACGAACGAGCGAAAGAGCGAATCTCACAAACCCAAAAACCCAAGAGAGAGAGAGAGAAAGAGCGAGAGAGATAGTCCGAGAGAGCCAGAGCGAAAAGAAACAGAATTAGAGGTCCACAAGAGTCCCAGGTTTTTCAGCCAAAAGTAAACGTGCCTTGTTTCTCTCCACAGATGAGGTGCTGGAGGAGGGGGGGTGCGCCCCATCAGTGTCCAGACGTCAGCGAAACTCCTGCCACGCCCAGTATGCCATCATCACAGGTGGGTTCTGCTTCGGGGTGGTGTGGTGGAGGTTGAAGTGGTGGAGGTGGTGGTGTGGTCTTGGTGGTGGTGGTTTTGGTTTTGGTGGTGGTGGAGGTGGAGGTGCAGGTGTTGTGATGGTGTGGAGGTGTGGGTGGTGTGGAGGTGGAGGTGGGGAGAGTGAGGAGGTGTGGTGGTGGTGTTGGTGTGGTGGTGGGGTGTTGTGGTTGGTGTTGGTGGTTTTGTGGTGGTGTGTGGGTGTTGTGTTAATGGTGTATGGTGGTGTTGGTTTTGGTTTAGGTGGTGGTGATGGAGGTGGATGGTGGTTGGTGGTGTTTGGTTGGTGGTGGAGGTGGTGGTGGTGGTCGCGTTGGAGGTGATGGTGGTGTTGGTGGAGGCGCGGTGTTGATGGAGGCGGTGGTGTTGGTGTTGATGGTCTTGGTGTTGTTGGTGTTGGTGTTATGGCATTGGTGGTGTTGTGGTAGTGGATATTTTGGTCCTGTAGATATTGGGAGGTTAGGGAGGAGGAGGGAGGAAGGAGGAGGAGGTGAAATAAGGAAGGGGAGGGGAGGAGGTGGTGGGGGAGGTGGAGTCGGAGGAGAAGCAGGAGGGAGGGAAGAGTGTTGTTGTGGTGGTGGAGGAGGTGGTGAGGAAGGAAGAAGAGGAGGGGAGAAGAGATGGCGGTTGAGTAGGAGGATAGAGGTTGGAGTAGGAGTGGCTTAGGGTGGAGGATAGAGGTGGAGGAGGAGGAGGAGGAGGAGGAGGTGGCATGAGGAGGGAGGAGGAGGTACAGGTGGAGATGGAAGTGGAGGAGGAGGAAGAAGAGAGCTAGAAGGTGGAGGAAGAGAGAGAGAGAGAGAGAGAGGAGAGGAGAGAGAGAGAGAGAGAGAGAGAGAGAGAGAGAGAGAGAGGAGAGAGAGAGAGAGAGAGAGAGAGAGCGAGAGCGAGAGAGGAAGAGGAGAGGAGAGAGAAAGGAATGAGAAGGGAGGGGAGAGCTTAAGAGCGGCAGTGGAGAAGGGGAGAGGGAAGGGGGAGTAAGAGAGAAGAGTAAGGAGTTGAGAGGGGAGAGTAGCGGAATTCAGCCAGGAAGCGAGGACCGGGAAGTAAAAAACAGACGGGTAAAAGAGAGAAAAAATGAGGGAAGTGGCGAGGGGAGTGGAGTGAGGGGAGAGAGAGAGAGAGAGAAGAGGAGAGGGGAAGGAGGGGAGAAGGGAGGTGGGTGTGGCCAGCAGCCCCCGTTTCACTTGGTCGTTGGGTCCCTCTTGGCTTGGTGGTGATGGAGTGGGAAGACTGCATTTGTGGTGGAGGGATGGTGTGTGGTGGTACGGTGTGACGTGGTGCAGTCTTCTTATGTGGTGGTGCTGGTGATGTTGGTGCTAGTCTCTTCTTGTGGCGGTGTGTGTGTGTGTCGGTGTGTGACGTGGTGAGTGTGGTGCTAGTCTGCTTGTGGCGGTGTGTGTGGCTGTGTGTGTGGTGGTGCCTGTGGTGTGAGATGGTGTGTGCGTGCTTGCTTGTGGTGGTGACCGGTTGGGTGAGTGTGGTGATGGCTAATCTTTTGTGGGCGGTGGTGTGTGGCTGTTGGGCGGTTGGTGTGTAGTGTAGTGTGTGGTGCTTGTCTCTCTGTGGTGGTGACGGTGGTTGTGTAGTGTGGTGCTAATCTTCTTGTGCGGTTGGTGTGGTGGCCTGTGGTGTGACGGTGTGTGTGAGTGTAGTGTGTGGTGCTTGTCTCTCTGTGGTGGTGACGGTGGTTGAGTGTGGTGCTAGTCTTCTTGGCGGTGGTGTGTGGCTGTGGTGGTGACGGTGGTGTGAGTGTAGTGTGTTGGTGTGTCTCTCTGTGGTGGTGACGGTGGTGTGAGTGTGGTGCTAGTCTTCTTGTGGCGGTGGTGTGTGGCTGTGGTGGTGACGGTGGTGTGAGTGTAGTGTGTGGTGCTTGTCTCCCTGTGGTGGTGACGGTGGTGTGAGTGTGGTGCTAATTCTTTTGTGGCGGTGGTGTGGTGGCTGTGGTGGTGACGGTGGTGTGAGTGTAGTGTGTGTGGTGCTTGTCTCTCTGTGGTGGTGACGGTGGTGTGAGTGTGGTGCTAGTCTTCTTGTGGCGGTGTTGTGTGGCTGTGGTGGTGACGGTGGTGTGAGTGTAGTGTGTGGTGCTTGTCTCCCTGTGGCGGTGTTGTGTGGCTGTGGTGGTGATCCTGGAAGAAGCTCATTGATAGAATATATATTAGAAAAGTTCATAAGGGATGGTTAGAATACAATACAATTGATGTAAAAAAAAAAAAAAAATCAAGAACATTAGATATAATTTATTAGAAAAGTTGATGGGAATGGTTAGAATACAATTAATTTGATTAAAAAAAAAAAATCCTGGAAATGTATAGGTATAATCTATTAGAAGAATTTATAAGAACGGTTAGAATACAATATAATTGATGTAAAAAAACAAAACAAATCACCAACATTAATGGTTAGAATACAGTTTATTTGACTTGAAGAAAAAAAATCACGTAAAAATATAATTTTTAAAAAAGAATTTATAGAACCAGTTAAAATACAATTCATTTGATCACAGAAAACATTAGAAAAAAATCACACACATAAAAAAAACGAAGGGAATGAATAGAATAAAGCTGATTCTTACGACGGACAAGAGAACGACGGGGCTCGCCTATAAACAACAAAGAATAACACAAAATTAACGAAGGAATGAATAGAATAAAACTGATTTTTTACGACGGGGACAAGAGAACCGACGGGGCTGGCGAATAACAACAAAAATAACACAAAAGTAACGAAGGGAACGAATAGAATAAAAGCTGATTTTTTACGACTGGACAAAGAGAACCGACGGGGCTGGCGAATAACAACAAGAATAACACAAAAAAACGAAGGGAATGGATAGAATAAAAGCTGATTTTTTACGACGGGACAAAGAGAACCGACGGGGCTGGCGAATAACAACAAAAATAACACAAAAATAACGAAGGGAATGAATAGAATAAAAGCTGATTTTTTTACGACGGGACAAAGAGAACCGACGGGGCTGGCGAATAACAACAAGAATAACACAAAAATAACGAAGGGAATGAATAGAATAAAAGCTGATTTTTTACGACTGACAAAGAGAACCGACGGGCTGGCGAATAACAACAAAAAATAACAAAAAATAACGAAGGGAATGGATAGAATAAAAGCTGATTCTTACGACGGGACAAAGAGAAACCGACGGGGCTGCCTATAACAACAAGAATAACACAAAATTAACGAAGGAATGAATAGAATAAAAGCTGATTTTTACGACGGGACACCGACGGGGCTGGCGAATAACAACAAAATAAAACAAAATAACGAAGGGAACGAATAGAATAAAGCTGATTTTTTACGACTGGACAAAGAGAACCGACGGGGCTGGCGAATAACAACAAAATAACACAAAAAATAACGAAGGGAATGGATAGAATAAAAGCTGATTTTTTACGAGGGACAAAGAGAACCGACGGGGCTGGCGAATAACAAAAAAATAACACAAAATTAAC